GAGGATAATGATAGCAGACATGTGTTCCTTCAACATGAGGTTGTTTTTTTTCCCTTTGAAATGGATTCTCACTCTGTCACCCAGGCAGGAGTGCAGTGGCGATCTTGGCTCGCTGCAACCTGTGCCTCCTGGGTTCAAGCAATTCTTGTGCCTCAGCCTCCTGAGGAGTTTAGATTACAGTGGCCCTACCACCACACCCAGCTATTTTTCTTTTTTTTTTTTTTTTTAGTGGAAACAACGTTTTACCATGTTGGCCAAGCTGATCTTGAATTCCTGACCTCAAGTGATCTACCGCCTCGGCCTCCCAAAGTGCTAGAATCCTATGAGTTTAACTCACCCTTGAGACAGAGTTTCTCAATCTGTTTTTAGAAAAGAAAGAATTGCCCCACTGTGCCTTATCTCAGACCTTCTGAACCCTATCAACTAGGGATTCCCAGAAGGCTCTGCCTGTGGACCCTTCTGACTAGAGAATCAAGAGTCCTAGCCCCTGTCTGATCTCCTGACTCCTTTTATCTGGTAACCTAACAGGTGGCATCATGTAAAAATGGACTGGCTTGCCCTTTGCCACTGCATCCACCCAATAAATTTCGACTTACCCTTAGAGATTCAACCCCAGGGCCACTTTCTCTGAAAAGTGCTCCAGCGTCAGGCAGAATCATACCTCTCTTTGGTTCTTATACTAATTTTTGCTTACATGTTATTTGTGTTCCAACTCTTTCTTGAGTTACCCAGCTCATTCCTCTGCCCTGGGGTCTTTCAACCACAGGGACTGTATTTTACTCACCATTAGAGTCCTATTGCTCCTACTCACACAGTAGGAGCTTGGTTAGTATCCAGTGCATTAAGCCATGAATTAGGAAATAAAAATCACTGTTCATCTCCCTCAACCAACCGTACAGTAGTGAAAAGAGTCAGGATTTGTGGGGCTTATTTTTGAGACTTGGGAGCTCTATATATGCTCAGTGGCATGGAGTGGGGGATGCCAGACCAGGAGAATGGAAAGGTGATTAGGTTTTCAGGTCCATGGTTTACACTCTCCCAAATGCCACAGGATCACATGAGCCTGTGGGACAAGATGTCGCCACATCTCTTGGGGAAGAGATGAAGCACTCCTCATTTGTGCATAGTGTGGCTTTGTAGGCCTCCAGATGGGAAAATGAGAGGATCATAACCCAATACTAACCAACTTGGCATGACTCATCCTCCTAGTTCCACCCCTCTTCCTCATGCACCATGGCTGAAACTCCTGCCTTTCTCTATCTCACCATTGGCTTGAGAGGGAGTAGTCAGGTTTGTTGAGAGATAAGGCTAAGCTGTGTCCATACTTCCTATCTCAGGTGTGCTGTGGTGAACACCCCTGACTACTGCTTCAAGCACCAGAAAAGTTGCCTGGTCTGATATGGTCAGGTTACAATGCAGCCAGAGCCTTCTTTCTCCCCGAGCTCCTGCTCTGTCAACTTACCTGGCATTTGTCTTCATAGATTCCAAATTCCATGGTCTGAATGGTCTCTCTCTCTCTCTCTCTCTCTCTCTCTCTCTCTCTCTCTCTCTCTCTCTCTGTAGATTACTATACAGTCAGGGCTAATAGCCACTTTTCTAAGCAATAAACCATCTAGCTATTTCCCTTTTCTGATCTAATCCTCCCAGTGGTGAATGCCACAAATCACTATTTTGTATCCTCTGCTACAGTCAAAGTCATCAGACTTTGAGTCTTTTGAGTGACTTGTTAGGCTCCCTGCCTCTCACTCCTTCCCTAAGACTTCGCACCAATCTAACCTCAAGGCAATCTGTGCATCTTTGGTCATGCAAATGTCTCCCTGCTCTGAAGAGCAGATAGGGACAACATAAGAAAATCATTCTTCATCCATTCATTATTTATTTATTCAACAGACATGTACTGAGTACCTGTAATGGGGTCAGACATGGTGCTAGCACTTAGAATTCCATGGTCAGCAATTCTGAAGTGGGGTCTATGGACAAGGAAGAACTAGCTCCTATCCCGGGCATCTGGTGAGAAGCCCTGTACCCAGCTCTGTTTTCTTCCTCTTCTCTCATGCATCCTCTACCACTGACTTCCAGCTCCATGAGCACTTGTCTGAGGCTGAGGCTGGCCAAGTGGAACTCGTTGCACAAATACTGCCACTCATCACTTACTGTGCTCCACCATGTTTGACAGCGGCTCTCCTTATTCATGAATGACTTACCACCAAGGCTCATTCATTTGGAATGTTTGAGGTCAGGTAAATAAATTTCCTTCTTACAGATACTTCTGTTCTGATCCTGTGTATTAATCTTAACTCTTTTTTTTTTTTTTTTTTTTTTGAGACAGAGTTTTGCTGTTGTTACCCAGACTGGAGTGCAATGGCACGATCTCGGCCCACCGCAATCTCTGCCTTCTCAGTTCAAGCAATTCTCCTGCCTCAGCCTCCCGAGTAGCTGAGACTACAGGTGCGCATCACCATGCCCAGCTAATTTTTGTATTTGTAGTAGAGATGGGTCACCTTGTTGACCAGGATGGTCTTGATCTCTTGACATCGTGATCCACCCGCCTTGGCCTCCCAAAGTGCTGGGATTACAGGCGTGAGCCACCATGCCTGGCCTGATTTTAACTCTTAATTATGTAGTTTGCAGATAGATTCTTCCATGCTGTATTCCAATAAAGGGCATTAATTAATCCATCTCCTTCTCTACTTAAGACTTCCTAAATTTGCATCCATGAGTCAGTGATCTTGTGTTTTACTCTGGTTTTATATGCCAGCACTAATGAGGATCACTTCTAACCTAGGATGTTTCCCAAATATCCAAGTGTGCATGAAAATACATTTCCAGACCAGGCTAAATTAAAGGCATAAAACAATACGCTTGTTTCCATCACAGATGTGAAATGTATGCTATCTATTCCTAGGAAAATTGCTGTGAAGGAATGGCTCAGCAGCTGACAATGGTACATCCACAATTTAATAATTTGAGTTTTAACTTTCAGTTTTTACTTTTAATTTTTCAGATGAAATCAAATAACTACATGGACAAGGGGGAACCCCCACATACAATCAGGTTCAAGTTCTGTTAAATGTCAAAGGTTCAAAGTTCTTAGGGCTACTTGTCCCAGCAAATGAGAGTAGGAATGCTGATTGAAAGAAATCAGGTTGCATTTCCCCAGAGATTAATTATATATTTTAAGAGTCTGGAGGAAAAAAAAGATCTACAGGGGCTTTCAACATGAGAAGTAATAGCAGAGCAATAATTTCAAAGACACGCAGAAATAAGAAAAGGACAAAGAAGTATGTCAAAACAAGATAAGAACCATTCATGGAAAGTCCTGAGATCAATCGACAGAAAGGAAAACTGATCATGTAAAATCAGCTTCTCTGCGTAATCTGAATCCTGGCAGCATTTATCTCATGTATTGGGAGTGAATTATTTTTTTAAATGCCTGTTTGCAACTTGAGTTTGACATGAGGATAGATTGATATAATTAAGTGGATATTGCAAGCCCCATTTGGAGAGGCAAATGTAACAAACAGGTTCTGCCACGTGGTTGCATAGAAGTCAGAGCCTTTTTCTGCTATTTCTGGCTATATGTGTTGTTGGCCCAACTGCTTAACAACTTTGGCCTCAGTCCATTCATGTATAAATTGGGGCTAATAATGCCCACCTTATGGGACCTCGCAAGGATTAAACAACACAACTAAAGTGACTGTGCTGTAAAGATTACCTTCCTTTTATCTTATTTATTTTTGGAATAATTGTCAGAAGAAGAGCAATTGATCAGAAGGATAAGTGTGTGAGCTAAAAAAAAAACAATACTAAAGCATTTTATAACTTTGGAAAAATGTTACCTGCTGCACTTCAAGTTTTCAATATTATTAAACTAGAACTCACATGCATTTGGTCAGCTGACCTGTGGACCTTTCCTGTGATGTGGGATGTTCCACAGCAATGATGCCCAGTATGCCAGCTTCTGGCCCTGTGTGGCAACTGCACACCTGAAATGTGGCTAGCGCAACTTAAGAACTAATTTTGTTATTTCATGTACTTTTGCATTAAATTTAAATAGGGATACATGGCTAGTGACTTCTGAATTGGACAGCACCCTTTTAGGTCTTCCTGACTGTAAAGTTCTCTCACACCAGTCTTGAGGAAGCAGAAGAGCATGAGTTTAAACATCTCAGGTGCTGAGATTGTACTAGGTTCAAATCCTAGCTCTGCCACTGAGTGATTCATGTAAGTTCACTGAGCCTCAGTTTTCTCACCCATCCAAGAGAAATGGTAATGACATCACTTGCTGCATGTGAGATAAGGAGAGTAATAAATGTTAATGCAAGTAAGAGCTTCAAAGGGTTTATGATTATTCCTTCTAAAATAACAGTCCTCACACTTTATTGAAACTATGCATTCATTCCTCTGCCTTCTCCACTGGGCTACAAGTACTGCTATAATGCAAGTGCCAATCACCATGCCTGGCACATTTGGACTCCTTCAGGAAGAAGGGAGAGAGAGAGAAGAAGGGATCAGGAGAGGGAGGGAAGGAGAAGGAAGAAAGGAAGAAAGAATGAAGTAAACAATAATATCTTTCATGAAGAATAAAGTAGGCTGCTAAAATAAAATGAATAAAATATGAGAGTTTTAAACAAAAATTCCAGTGGAGACAGATGACTTAGAGACGAAGATGGAGTCTGGTACTCCAGGGAAAACGTATCTCTAAGAGACAGTAAAGGGATTGGGTAACTCTCAGAGAATCAAAGAGAGATGAAAGAAGCTAAACTGAAGAGGTTTTCTAGATGCTACGCTGATAAAAACATAAACTTCAATCCTCAAAAGTGTGTTCAACCAAGCTGCTTCAAGGGAATACAACTGTGGGTTGTGTAACCTTTTTTGTCTGCAGTATATTCTCATAGAAAGGTTCCATTAGCAGTGAAGTGCATGTACATTGGGCTCCCCATTGCCAAGGTTTCATTTATACTACGTTCACCGGTTCCCCCAAAAAAGCAGTATTGGGCAAGTTTTCATAACTGTTTATTCATTATAAATAGTAAATATTTACTGCGCTTTTTACATGAAAGACATTTTTACAACACATTGTTGTTGGTTGAGGCTGCAACACAAAGATAGTATTTCTCTTGTTCATCAGCCCTAAGACGAATGCATGAACTAAACTCGGTACTACATCTAGTCTCACTAACTCACTACGTCATAGTTCTTAACTCTGAAAGGAATGTATCTGTGCCTACCTCATTCATGGTTCCGAGAATAGAAAGAAATAAATAACACTGCCTTCCACCTTCTTGTTCCCTCAACATTTCAAAAAACAAATTTATTGACATTCTAAAATGTCACCACACAAACGTATGTAAACCTCAGTTCCTATAATCTTTTAATATTGGATATCATTGTATAATTTAAAAATACATGAGAGCCATGTGAACATTTCTGTTCTTGCCCTGCCTTTCATAGAAAAGAGAAGAATGTAAACGTAATCAGTTTAAAAGCATAATTATCTGATCTGGTCTCTAATCAAAAGGAGAAAGCCGGGTGTTGGTTGTCTGGTAAATGGCAAATATCACTGCACTCTATCACTATGAATTATGGACTGTGAAAATACAAGCACCTGCAAAAATATAGTTCTGGTTTTGTTTTTATCGCCGTGGCCATTGCCAAAGCATCCATGAGGTACACAGTATTGCACACTGATAAGCAGATATGTGAATGCGTGTCACTTTCTCTCCACCATGCCCTTCCTCCAACCCAGGTGGGCTGCCAAATAAATATGAACTGGAAAAATGTCAGACACTTCTCCCCACACCAGAAAAGGAAACAAGCTTTTCCTCCTGGTAGCCCATGTCCTGTTAGCAAGGTGTGTCCGGGACATTTACTGACAACTAGATTAAAATGAGGATACAATAGCAAATAATTTACTTAGGAGGTCCTTACAGCTAGCCTAGCTTCCTAAAAATGGTGGCATTTATTATTATGTCAACTTCCAGTGTGTAAGAGTCAAGGATTCCTCTGTTCTTGCTTCATGAAGCGAGCAGTTTTAAAGTTATAGAAGTGTCAGCACCAAACATCAACATGTTGTACTTTATTCTCCTATTATATTTTAGAACAGTCTGCTTGCCCAAACCAGTCCCAGTAAATCTCAGTACACACACACACACACACACACACGCACACACGCACACACGCACACACGCACACACGCATGCTCGCACACAAGCAAATGGAATGTCCTAGCTCCTTGATGATCAGCACTGAAGAACTGGGATATTTTGATATGTAAGCATTTGAAACCATTGCCTTAAAATGTTGCATCTGTCTTTTATTGCTCCAGGTCTTCCTCTTCTCCACGGCTTTTGGCCAACTTGTTCAAAAGAATTTGAAACCAACTACTGGAGAAAGAAAATCGATCACTCTCCTTTGTCTCTTATCGGGACTCCCCCCAACAAAAGGGTAAATTTTTTTGTTTTCTGAGCAGATTCTTCATGTCTAGGCTGCGAAGACCAGAAACAGGGCCAGTTTTACCTCCAAGTGGACAGTTCACTTATGCGATATCTGGCTTGAGATAATGAAAGGCACCTGTAAGGAAACACACGCAGCTTTTTAGATCATGCTGGGACAATTCACAGTCGGGCAAGATCAGCTACAGGCTGACAATGTCATATTTAATACCGTGGTATCAAAGGCTTGAGACTAATATTTTTATTCCTGAGACAAGTTTGACACAACTCTGTGTCCCTGGGATTATCCCCCATATGATCCTGGAGTTGACCTCATTAAGAACATGTGTTTCTAATGTCAGGGATTATTTCATTTTGGCCAACCCTTGTGTTTTACCTAGTGGCAATCAGGTTTCACGTCTCAACAATTAATAACCACAAGATGTTGTTGACATCAGTTAAGAAAATAATTATACAAGGAAGCCCTTGCTGGAACAGTCAGCTGGTTTGCAAAAAAAAACTGATACCGGCATGTGAGGCTTAACCATGCCTCTAATTCACCTTTCTTAAGCAAGAGTTGAGTTTCTCTCCCTTCCAGGAGTAACTGCCCCCTAAAAAGTCCAAGGCTTACTTTGTCCATACTGCCCATACTGGTAGCCCGTGACAGGGTCCATACTGTAGCCTGTGGTGCTATAGGTGGGTGGACAGTAGGACTGAGATGTTGGCAGGCTGTCCAAGCTCTTCATATGGTCTAGTCTCTGACTGCAGCTGGCCGACACGGTGGTGGTGGGTTCCAGGCCCCCGGTGAGAGGCGAGAGCGCGTAATCAGTCTGGGGCTGATGAGGTACACCACCGTGGTTGGTCAGGAGTCCCATTACCTAAAAAAACAGCCAGATTGGGAAGAAGTTAAAATGCAGAGAGAACCAGATTGCAGCCTACAGCTGAAAGAATAACGTGACAGTCCAATTTTTATTTCTTTGGAAATCTGTTAAAGAGCTGTCCAGGAGACTGTGACCCCAATTCAAAGCAGCAGAGGTATTACATCATGCCTAATGATAACATCTGACTGTAGTTTCAGAAGAAGGAAAGGGGGAGGGAGAAGAAGGGAGAAGATGAAAAAAAAGGAAAGAAGGAAGGAGAGAGAGAGATTACACCAGGTCCCCAGTGATAAAATCTTGACTGGAATTTCAAATAAGGGGGAAAAAGGGATGAAAAGAAGGAGAAATTGTACCTGTTCATATAGAAAAATGTCTAGTCATACATTATATCTAGAAGTTTCACATGTGATTTTTAAATAGTCACCTGCGCATATTTTTAAAAAGATAAATGAATCCAAATCAAGTTATTTTTCAGTGCTTTGAGACCTCTGTACCTTTTTTTTAATAGTGTTACCTCTCAAGAAAACCCCTTTCCTCATCTTGGCCATCCTTTGTTAATTAGAAATATTTACTCCCTCCCTGATGGTCCCTGGTAATCTGCTCAGCCCTTCCACTGTATATCCATTAGTTAAATCAGCTGCTTGGGTGAGAGCTTTGAGAGGAGGAACCTACTCATCTTTACATCTCAGCACCTAAAGCAGTGGTGAGTGCTTAACACATATTAAGCACCGATTAAATGCACATATTAAATGATCTGTAAAGGATTCTCTCAGTAAAAGTCTCCATTACCTATTATTTTATTTCTTCTCTAAACCACCATTTACGTGTGTGTGTGTGTCTGTGTGTCTGTGTGTGAAGTGTTAAAAGGAAAAACAAGTCTGAAATGCAAACGTGTTCTTTAAAAGTTTAGTTTTGTAAATACCTGGAGAGTAAGACAACTTGGGGAAAAAAAAAATCCTGTGACAGAACAACTTTCAGACCAGCATGGTGAAGTGTTTCACAAACTCAAGATCCCTGACCCTTACAGCACCTCGTGGTGAAAGTAAGTGGATAATTAATTTTGCAGCTGGAAAACTGCCACACGAGAGAGGAATTGATCTTTCTAAACTGCATACCCTTCTGTGGCAGGGTTCAAAGCAATTGCAAAAGAAATCTAATGCCAGGTGAAACCCCCCCCGTTAGACACACCTACTTACAAAGTATTTAAATGCAGGGTCCAACAATTACACAACATTTCCATAACAGTCCTGTTTTATTTTAGGAAGTCTGAAGCCTATGGAGATTAAAGTGTACAAATAAGAGAAAGAGAAGAGGGCAGACATAACAACGAAACCCTGACTATAAGCCCTCGTGCTAACTGCAAAATAACTCTCTTAATTCAGGCAATGAAACCCTGGATCTAGGAGTTCCATCCAGCAAGGCAGGAATCCGAGAGGCAGGTTAGGCAGTCGGGGGTGAAAAGGGGGTCTAGTTTTGCTTCTCAGAAAGCATCCCAACTCAGATTCCAAAAACAGGGATCCCATAATTACTTTGGGAAAGGTTTGCGTAATCCTTATGATTACACAAAATCTTGAACTAAAACTCTAAATTGATCCATCTTCAGTTAGTCCCAAAAGACAGAGAGAGAAAGAGAGATTCACTTTCTGTGGATTATCAATTATCTGCTCTTCCTCCATTTTAACAGATCACTTGAATGGATCTCCCTTCCTTCCCCAGAAATCCTGTTTTTCACTTTGTTGTTGCTCTTTCATTTGAGTTATTCTCTGAGCACACACATGGGAAGGTGGGCCCGTGTGGGCAAAGAAAGCAGCACAGCAGTGCTCACATTTTGAAAGACACCCTAGGAATCTACATTTTCTTGAGATATGTGGTGAAACACCTTCTTAACAATTTCTAAAAATTAGTCAGATTCTTTTTTTAAAAAAGTCATCATTTGTGGCAGAGCCTAGTTTTGTTTTGTTGGGGATTTGGAGAAAGGGAAAGGTCACAAAATAAAGCATCAAAGGACTGACAATTTCAGGAAGATGGAAAATCACTAGAATGTGTGTTCTTTGAAGGCTCTACCCAGCATGGTTTAAACCAAGTTAATTTCTTCATTTCACTGTTTTAAAAACTTCAGCCTAAGTTGCATTCAAATTAGTTCCTGGATGTGTTATCCATCTATGTGGATTCTTTTTGCCTTTCTTTGAGGTTATATAGATGATTTTACAGTGTATACTTGGACAGTTCATGAACTTCAGTTGATACAACTAATTTGTTAATTATGTAATTTCAGCCCAAATTAGACATCTCTATTAGAAGAAATAGAGTCTTTAAGTTAGAGGTTGTTTGGCGCCAAGCACACTCCTTTCAAATCAGGACTATGTTTTTGTATGTGAGCCTGATGGGTGAAGATGGACATAAACATTAAAACATTTAAAAATGTGATTTTTTTAATGGAAGGGAATAATCACACAAGGCAAATCTTTTACCATGAACAAGTTGTGCTAATCAAAATCCAGAAGCTTGGAAAAAGCAATTTTGTAACTATATCAGTCCAGAGAAGAAAGATATCCAGTGGCACTAAATAAAAGGAAAACAAACTTTAAATTAAGAGTGTCCTTCATGAAGATACTTACTTGAAATCCAGTTAACGGTATGTCACTTTAAGGGAGAAATGGAATGCTCTATATACAGTTATACTTGATGAGCTCAGAGCACAATTTTATTCAAAACATGCACACTTTCCCATGAGCTATATGTACATTTTTCTGATAAACTTTGAAAAAAAAATCCCCTGCCATACATTTTTGTTTGCATAACTTTGAAGACAGCAATAATTTTGTTTACGGAGGATGCGGGGTGGGGGCGTGCCTATGAAGACCCTAAAAAGAGAAGAAACAAGTTCTTCCTATAAGCAAAAGTCGTTCATGAAGTAACTTTTGGCAGTTGCTGCATTAGAAAATACTTTAGGACACGATTTAACTTTAAGACCTTGAAGCGTATCTATTGAAGGATGGAGAAGATACCCTGCCTGCAGGGCTATATTTTAGGGCAGTAGAAAAATAGTGCCTCAAAGGTTCCAGGGCACGGCAGCCTTAAGACATGCCAAAACATGACCCAAATAGGAAAGACACCTGCAGGGTCTTGCTGTGTGTCACTATTGTCACACCCAGGAAGCTAATGAGGGTGTCTCCTTTAGCCACATAGCTCAGCTCAGCAGCCCAATACTTACAGGGGCTGATATGAAGGAATAGACGAGGCCAGAGACCAGTTATCTTTTGTTCCTTTGACTTCCCTGATAGATCCCCCAAGACAGACATTCACCACAAGTTCTTATTTCTACTGCGATGGTCACATATTTTAATCATAATCTCAAGAATCTTATAAGGATGGGGAATACAGCACTAACATTTTCCTACATTTGAGCTGAAACTGAGATGAATAAATAACTATAATGTGATTTATTTCAATATTTCACACTGAGAAAACTTGAGAAATATACACCATTTTAGTAACCTATTGTTTTAAAATTTTTACAAAATATGTGTTGACGGGGTAGTGAGGACATCAATAGAAAATGCATTACTCTCCCTTCACATAATTTAAAACCTCAAATCTCTGTGGAAGGGTTCCATTACACTTTCATGTATGTTTCCTTAAAAGCAGTGTTTCATGTGGTTCAAGGGAAGCTATGGAAATTTCCTTCTGTGCACAAAGAAGTTGGTAAATGAACTTCTTAGAACTTATCCAATATGGTTATGGAATGTCTTCCAGTCACATTTTCTTTTTAAGAATAATGTCAGAATTTCTTTTATGCATGTTTTTCCTAGAGATTCCTCTGAATTAGTACTTCAAAGCCTAAAATAAAATCTTCATTTGTTGTAAAGTGGACTTTTTTGGCCTCCCTTTAAATCATTAGTAAGCGATTTCTACTACAAGGCTGGCATTTTTTACCTGATTGTTTTTTTAATTTGGGGTATGAGAGAAGCTCAGCTGCCTAGGTTTCGCAGACAATTTCGAAGAAAAAGAAACAAATTCAAGGCTACTCAGTTCTGTCTCTGAACACTGACCACACTCATTAAATGCCAGGTAAATTCAGGAGACTCAATGACCAGAAAGAATTTTGCTTAATAAAGATCTCTGTTCTGTCCCATTAGAAAAGAAAGTAAGGAGATCTCTTTCTTTTTACTTTGCTTTATGAGCCATCTTAAAAAAAAAAAAATCTACTAAGCAAATTTCTAAATTGCTACCTCCAAAATGTTTCCCACATATTGTTTCTAAATTGTTTTTTGAACAACCTTTAAGAATAAATGCAAAGCTTCAGAATTTATGTTCACACTTCTTCTACCAGTACCTCCATCTTTTGCATTATTAGGGAGACATTTTCTGAAGATCTCTTTAAATTCATTCTCAAGTTGCAGAATTCCAAATAGGTTGTTTATATCTTGATTGGAAAATTATATGGTTCAGGAAAAACTAACTCTTGACAATTGCTCCATGCCATATTTCTCTTGAATTAATTTTCCTATTGTAAGATTAAATAAAAAAGATGAAAAAAACTATGGGCCAAATTAAGATTTACCTTTAAAATGGTATGTCTGGAAAATATTTGTCTTGGCACAAACATTAGGTTTTCCCATCCATTGAAAGCGCCCAGAGTTTATCAGAAATCTAAAATGATTTAGTAAATTATGGTATACATCCAGGCGCATTTTTTCCTTAGTAGGAATCCTTGGTTCACATTTTTATTTTCTTTCTTGTTCTTAAGTAGTCAGATGTTCTGATTTAACATTTAACATACACACTTTTTTTTAAAGTTGTGAATTACAGCTCTGTATGACAAAAAAAGAGGTTTTTTTTAAAGCCTTCTTGCCTTTCCTCCAAAAGTCTACTGACTATATTTTTTTATTTAAATATAATTTACTTTCAGAACGAAACAAAAACGTTAAAACGTTTATCCAAGTGTTTTTTGCCAATATGGGTGTTACTGGAGTCATTTAATGCTTAAATTTCAGAAC